CAAGTCTACTGTACTCAGTAGAGAGCCGGTCGCCTGTGCCCAGGCACCGAAGGGTTTGCAATTGCTTTGTTCTAGACGTTAGACTCACGGGACCTTCTGCACCACACTGCCGTCACCTGAAGCTCGAGACCCCGAACCCCGAAAGAGTGGAAATCCGTGCCAAGCTTCAGAATGCATGATGGGGCTGTCACCTTGCGGCTCAAAGACTTTTTGGAGGTAGGAACTTAGCTGGGACTCCAACCTTTCGTAAGTCTCTTGATTCACTGAGCCTACAGTGTCGAACTGATCATAGGTTTATTAAAACCCCCACCACCCCCGTCCACCCCCCCCCCCCAGAACAGAGATAGCTTTCGAGCTGTTTTTTGAGCCCAGCAGTGGCTACTGCACCCAGAAGCTTCTCGAGGCATAAGAAGGCACAAAGAACACACATTTGTGTCTTTGTTGTGTTTCTTTACGTCTTTATGTCCCGAAATGCTTGAAGACGTATCGAAATGCCTCTGCTCTTAGTCTAAGGCTGCTGGACCAAGTATATGTTCCTGTCAGGTTTTAGCAACCCCCCGTGGACTTGAAGGTTGAAGCCATGACATTTTTCCGCCACTGAAAAAAGCAGAGCAAGCAACCATCCATCTCGAATGTGCCTTTTCAGCCACACCGCGAGCTCAAGACTGGGCTCAGGCATCCATTCAGCCGAGTCACGGTACCGGTTGATAAGGGCATCAAGTGATGTCATGGCAGAATTGGCCTTGGGCACTGCTCGAAGCGAGAGCCCCCAACTAGGTCCCGACCGGCTGCACTGGCCCTGCGGTTTCGGAACTGGCAGTAATCTGGTGCGGCTGATGCCAGGCCGAATCCGGGCAGATTTAGAGCAGGCTTGGCGGGTTCGTCAAAACCAAGATTTCCGCGGACCCGTGCTCTACAGCCCCATGCACCCAATTCAAGATCTAGCATGGAGCTTGAAAGACGATCGCTGCCGCCGCTGCGAGAATTTGCCGCTGGGGAGTACGGCCAGTCATCCCTTGTTCGTAGGCCCAACCCAACTAGAAACTGCAGCTCAAGAGCATGCACGGTGGCTTTCGTAGCGCCCTTTCTGCCTGCATTCCGGCTCTTTCGCTGCGTTATAGCCATGCATCAGGCTGGGAGTCATTCCGTAAGCTGTTCTACATGCGATCTGCGACTGCTTTCGTATCGTCTCGGACTATTCTGCATGATTGCATACGCATGACAATGCCACAGCTGCGCCTGCAAGTGGCCAGCCTTGAATGTTGGAGGTGAACTTGGCCACAGCATCGAGATTCCTCCTCTAGCAAGGTCCGTCAGTTCGAATCCGGCGCGGCAACGGGGCTTGCGTGTCTCAAACCAAAATCTGTCAAACGGACTCAAAGCCAAATCGCTCGCTCAAGAGATCGGACTTGCAAGGCCCGAAACCATCACACTCAAAGTGCGTGATCGGTCCAAGACTCTAGACTCTACCTCCCCAACTGCTGAACAACACTTGACATGAAGGCCGGGGTGCACATTGACAAAGGCATAGCCCAAAGAGGAGCCGTCACGCCCGCGAATCGGCAAGTACAGGAAGTTCCTTTTTCGATGTGTGGGAAAGGGAGACCCACAAGTACGAGGAACCAATGCGCTAAAAAGTGCTCTAAACAAAACCGCTCTTGCCAAAAAGTACAGGAACAGCCAGACCCAGGAAGTCTTTAATCTTGGAGAACCCTCCGCGCACCAGATGAGCTGTGGCAACAAAAAGATGCACGCGTCTTCAGTTGCCGAAGAGCCCAAGAAACAACAACCGGTGAAGCTATGGCTACAAGCGAGAACCCCTTCATTCTTACCAAGTCGATCTTGCTTGTGCGATTATGTTCCTCGTGTACACATGCTTGACCTGAGGCACGCGTGGTTGTTCTTCAGTTTGCCTGAGCGATAGTGTCTTTACTGTTTGGCATAATACTCTGTATAAACTTTATAAACAGGCTCCGAAAAACGAATACACCGCCTCATTAAAGTCGCAGCGCCACGAACGAGAAGCCCTGCCCTGACTTCGATTCCTACACAACGGGCCTCCGACGACATGAGATGCTGCGTGCCGCAAAGAACCCAGAACCAGGCAGGACCAAGAGGATTAATAAATATGAGAGAAACCCAAGGGAGGCTGCAGGGCACTCTCGGTAGGAGGACCCTGCCAGGACCTGTGCAGACAGACACTGACAATGTTCGATCGAAAATGCGATTTTGCGAATTAGCCCTGAATACCAGGAACGGTTGTCAGTAGTCACTACAAAACTCTTCGAATGAGCCCAGCCACATCCATGCTACCTATTTATATTTCCTACCCAGTCAGCTCAAGATTCACGAGATCGAGGATGTGCAGCTTTCGGAAGATATCGAGCAAAGCCTGTCTGGTGTAGTCACCTGGGTAACAACTTACAAGGTAAGCCTAGGAATGACACATCGAACAGGCCGCTCAGAGAAAATGCAAGAGCCTCGAGAATCCCAGAAGGAGTAAGCAAGCATGGTTCAATGTAATGAACGAGGCTCTGCTAGCTTGGGAGAGGTCTTCAGTGCCAAGCGCGAAAACAACCAGGGCAAACCAAGGGAAGATATCAAACTGACGACTTACTCTCTCCTACAGTAGTGATTGATCCAGCGACCTCCGTAATTTGAAGCAAAGGAGCTTGGAATATTGCGCAGGACAAGAGATGTCTGGGTCATGCTCTGGACAACCTGATCGTCCTTTGTGGGAATCTCGGGATGCTCTCCCCCAGATTCTGGGAAGCCTCCACTGGCAGCATCGGTGCCCGCTGTGCTGGTCGATGGACTGTCACACTCTGCTCCACAGTCCGGATTGCAAACATCCTGCAGCAAAGTCGACCGCAACAAGAGGCATGTTCAACACGCATCACCGGTGCTAACTACAAGATCGATTTATGAACCCTCATGAGTGGACAGGCTCTAGACTCTAGACTCTGTTTTTGCACCGCTATCTGCTTTAGCGAAGCGGGAAGCTCACAGAGTCTCCCCAAAGAATTCGGATACTGTGTTCTGTGGGCGAACCTTCAGCCGAGCATATCCCATACAAGCGAGTCACATGACGCAAATGCCCACTTGTGCCCTGGACCTGGCTGGACTACGACCAGCTACCAGCTTGAAGATGGCTTTGCAAAGTGCTAGCTTGTCATCGAAAACTTTGGGCAGGCCCTGGTGGTTTTCGGCCTCCGACATCGGAGACTGCAGCGACTGCACCAAAACGGCCGCCTAGCAGGATTCAACCAGACTAGTGTTTGACTGAAGTTGCTTTTGCGGTCATCAACGGTTGGCATATCCTTCAGAGATCTTCAGAGTATAGACAGAGCTTCTCGAATCTCACAGATGCACCCCTAGAGTCTGTCCGACTGCAGTCTCTAACCAGGTACAATCGCGAGACTGGTGGCTCTGACAGCCCCAAACCAGTTTAGACACGGTATCAGCCTGATTTCGAATCTCTGTCCGCTCTCGGTCCATGTCAAAGCTGGGGAACGAAGCCGACTTCCTGAGTAACTGAGTATGAGCCCATCATGCCACGTCTCAGGACCAAAAGGACTAGCGGTTAGAGGTCTCTGAGCATTCCAACGAAGGACAATGCTACGCACCGCATTTTTTGAGCAGGAGCACCGAGCCAACCCGTCCAAGCTGAACTTTTTCTTTTTGAATGCACTTCATGACAGGTAGATTTATTTTGTTTTTTGTTGGCGCTCATCACCGAGGATCGTTGCAACAAGCCACTAAAAAATCCAAGTCGCTTCAGCGTGCAGCCCACATCTACTTGAAGGAACGAGTTCTTGACGTTGAGAACGGTGAAGTATCCTGCTTGGGCTCTCACGGCTCATGATGTCAACTTGCGGCTGGAGACGGGGACTACAGGTTTCTCACAGTACTGTAGGTCTGGAATCGGCATGCTCCTACTTCATAACCCTGGAACCATGACTTTGCTGTTCAATATTGCTTGGTGGTCGTATACCGTCGCCGTAGTTTTCGGTGCCCGCTTGTTCTGTGATATGTATGCCAGTGATACAGGTCACGGGCATAGCTTCCCTCGGATTCAGAAGGCCTGGTGCAGTTATAGGCTATAGATGCGGCTGTGGAATTTCCCTTGTTTGTCCGTGCTTTCGCAAGCGCAGCATTCGCACCGCCGATGCCGGCTCATGTCTACTGAGTTGTGTGCATTCCAGAGCAAGAGGTCCTTACGAATGCCATGTTTCGAAGAGTCAATAGTAGCAACCGCACCGCATAAGTTCAGCCGAGACCTGAGCAACTTGAGCAGCTCTGGATTTCCCGGTTGCCAGTGCGGGGTTTTCGTGGACGGCAGGTGTTAAGCCTCGACTGCCCTCCGGTGTGGGCTTCTTCTGCAGCTTTTGCGAAAACTTGAGTCTGGCCGACCCCTGTCCTTCCCCTGCGTCCGACTCATCTAGCGAGAGGATCTGCCACAGAGCGTCTGCGTATACGGAATGGGAGCGCCTGCGAACCTCAGTCGCGAGCGCTGTCAATAGCAGAGACCACAAAGTATGAGGCAACTCGGAGAGGGCCCGGCTCTAGAGCGCAGTGCAAACGCCTCCGCAAGTTCAGACAAGCAGCTGTTGCCATCGAGCGTCAACGCAGTATACGCGGTCGAAAACGACACGGACTGAAACCGAGTACTCTAGTCACTAGTCGCAGTCTCTATGGCGCAGGTTCTGAAGCCACGAAAGGCTTGAGGTGGGAAACAGGCAGCAGCATGAAATGCTTTGAACGACTTCCAGCTCCTAGCTTCAAGGGACGCGATCTCCAGGAAGTCTGCTGGCTTTGCTTGATAAGTCGGCGTGAATTCTGCTCGGCCTTGGCCACGCAAGATACTTCCACTTGCGTTCGTCATACAAGAACAGGGCATCAGTATGAAACAGTCTTCGTTCCTTGCACCGTACCCTGTCGCACATGTGCGATCTAACAACACCCGGAGAGGGCTTGGTCTTAAACCCGGGCAGATGCACCTGGAGGCGTCGCGAACGGGTGGCACCAGAAGGCTGCTGTCCCCTGGTCCTTGCTTCCATCCAGCTCCAGTCTCAAGACGCCGAAGCTTCAAGCTACCGGTCTTTCAAGCTCATCAACCCCTTTCAATTCCTTTGAGGCGCGCTGCCAGCACAACCCAAAATCTGACATCCTCTCTCAAAGGTTTCATGGGGAAGTACAGGCAAGACAGATAGAGAGACAAACCTCAATGACACCGCCTGAACCAGATACTCTGCAGGAAACTCGGAAAGCAGGAATATTACTCCTTTCTGCCACTAAAAATCTACCAAAACGGACTACACAACCCGGAGCATCTACACTGCGAAAGCCAGGGACGAGGCTCATGCCATGCATAAGAAGCCACGTAAAATATGGCACCAAGGACTTGCAATCATGACTATGACTGTTGCCGCTCTTGCCAACCCCTGGCAGCGTCCTCCGCGATGCCCTACAGCTGAAGACGGTCGACCGGTTGGAGGATCCTCGCAGAAAAGTCGAGGTTCAAGAGTTCAGGCTTGGTTCGAGAGTTCCACCTGTGGAGGGGCTGGCGTTGGGTGGTGGGTGGTCGTCGTGGTGGAGATGATGAAGCGACCTTGGCGGTGGTATTGTTGCTGGTGCTGGTGAAGGTGGTGGTGGTGCTGCTGCTGCTGCTGCTGCTGCTGGTGTTGATGGTGTTGTGCGTGTTGGTGGTGTTGTTGTTGGTGGTGGTGGTGCGTGGTGGTGGTGGTGGTGGTGGTGGTGGTGCCGGTGGTGGTGGTGGTGGTGGTGGTGGTGGTGGTGGTGGTGCCGGTGGCGGTGGTGGTGGTGGTGGTGGTGGCGGTGGTGGTACTGCTGCTTAGTTGTTGATGGGCACTGCGGTG